CATAGTCGAGGAGGAGATGCAGGCGGGATGCCGATTTCATGTAACAGAGAAACGAGCCATGTAACTTCTGCAGATACATCAGCAACTCCCTTGTATTCTGCTTCAGTCGAAGAACGTGACACAGTTCGTTGCTTCCGACAAACCCAAGATATAAGATTACTGCCCAAGAACACAGCAAAACCACTAGTAGATTTGCGGTCATTCGGATCGCCAGCCCAATCTGAGTCAGAATAGGCGTGAATATCCATAGATGTAGACCAAGAAATACGCAGACCAAGATTTAGGGTGCCTTTGACATACCACGAGACTCTCATTAGAGATGCCCAGTCTGTAGTAGTGGGAACATGCATATGTTGACACAATAGATTAACAGCATAAGATAGATCCGGACGAGTTACCGTAAGATACTGGAGAGCAGCAGCTAGACTCCTGTATTGTGTTGGATCGTCATAGGGAACGACCACGTCGTCTGTGATTTTTGCAGAAGAGACATGCGTGATTACTGGCTTGCAGTCCACCATGCCAGCACGTTTGAGAATATCCTTCATGTACCGTTGTTGGGATAAAAGCATACCGCCAGATTACGGGACAGTTTCTATTCCCAAGAAGAAAGAAGGCACACCCATATCACGAACCTTAAATTTAAGTGCTAATTTATCAATAAGAGCAGTAACACGATCTGAGTCAGAACCCATAATTAAAATGTCATCAACATACACCAAGAAATAAAGACGAATATTGTCACGAGAATAGATAAAAAGAGACACATCCGTCTTAGAAGGCGAGAAGCCCACAGAGATAAGAAAATCATGTAGCCTTTTGAACCATGCACATGGAGCCTGTTTGAAACCATATAGAGATTTTTTAAGAAAACATACATGATTAGGTAACGACTTATCCTCATAACCAGGTGGCTGTTGCATGTAAACAGTTTCAGCTAACTCGCCATTTAAAAAGGCGTTGTGAATATCCAACTGGCGAATAGACCACCCACGAGATACGGCTGAAGATAAGAGAAGATGAACCGCAGTGGGCTTAACCACAGGATTAAAGGTCTCAAAAAAGTCCTCTTCAGCAACCTGATTAAAACCCTTGGCTACTAACCTTGCTTTATGACGGTCTATTGAACCATCGGCCGTCCGTTTGGTTCTGAAAACCCACTTGCAACCAACAACATTCATACCTGGTTGAGATGGAACGAGACGCCACATATGATTATGGACCAAGGCATTGAACTCTGTGTCCATTGCATCACGCCACTCAGGAAACTTGACCGCCTGAGAGTAACAGGTAGGCTCAGGCAATATAGTGGAAATAGTGGTTAAGGCAACATGTTGATGCGGCCCGGAGCTACGAGTGTTCATGTTATGCGACCGAGGAGGCGGAGTAGCACGTCGAGGATGTCTGCGCGGCCTGCCGCGCTTTTCAACCTGCTGGTCCGAGACAGTCTGCTCACTCGATGCGGACTGCTCGTGACCGTGACCGGCATCACCGCCAGAAGCCGCCACGGGCTCGTGAATCTGCCGAGCGCCATTTAGTAACCGTGGTCGAGACATCACTTCCTTGGCCCATCACAATTGGTGCAGTAGCCCACGGTTCAGAACGCAGTGTAGCAACCTGCGGGGCAATAGGAGAAACAAAGGGAAACACAGTCTCATCGAATCGCACGCGACGACAGATAAAAACCTTGTTAGTGTTAGTGTCCAAACAATGATAGCCACGATAAGACGGAGGATAGCCTAGAAAGACACAGGGAGATGAACGAAACTGGAGTTTATTGCGATTATAAGAACGTAGGACAGGAAAGCACAAACAACCAAACACTCGCAAGTAATAGTAGGACGGGGGAGATCGATGTAAACGGAAGTGAGGGGACTCATCAGACAGAACACGAGTAGGCATTTTATTAATTAGATACACAGCAATTTCAAAAGCATTGTCCCAAAAACGAGACAGGACAGATGCTTGAGCCATTAAAGACAGTCCTGTCTCAACAACATGACGATGTCTGCGTTCCACTCGACCATTTTGCTCGTGAGTACACGCACAGGATTGCCTGTGGCGAATACCTAGCGAAGCAAGAGTGGAACCAAGATTTTTATATTCTCCCCCTAAATCAGATTGAAAGGAAATAATCTTGCGAGAAAAAGAACGTTCAACGAGTGACCGAAACTTATCAACTATAGCATACAAATCAGATTTAGCACGCATGGGATAATTTTATATATAACGAGTGTAATCATCCACAGACAACACAAAATATTTATAGCCAGATGCATAAAGTAATGGCGCCGGGCCCCAAATATCTGAATAAATTAATTCCAAATTATGCGTACTAGTAGTTTCGACACGAGTCAAAGGAAAACGAGAGGATTTTCCCAATTGACAAGAGGAACAGACATTGGGAAGATCACTAGAATTAAATGTACCAATAGACGAAGACGTTAAAATTTTACGTAAGACTCGAGAATGAGGATGCCCCAACCGCATGTGCCAAACGTAAGAGGATCGCGCAGCAACAAACGCAACAGGAGCTGAGGAGGACGCAGGCCATGTGTAAAGACTCCCAGACGCATGTCCCTTAAAAAGAACCTTCCTGGTCAAAATGTCCTTTACATAGAAACAAAGGGGGTGAAACTCAAAGAAAACATTATTGTCTTTTGCAAAACGCTGGACAGACAAAAAAGAAGAAGAGAGACCATGGGCATGTAAAACATCATGTAACTTAAAAGACCTAGAATCAGTAGCTAACGAAGCGGAACCAACATTAACAATAGGCAAACATGTAGCACTGCCGACTCGCAGAGTCTCCGCGCCATCATAACGTGTCGCAGAAGTCATCAAAGAAGAATCAGGCGTAGCATGATCTGTAGCACCAGTGTCAGGGAACCACTGATGAGGATCGTTGGAATCGCCATTATCACCAGAGACGGCCACATTAGCCTAAAAACCCGGAGCCCCTGAATAACGCCGAAAACAGTTGGCTCGCGTGTGACCAAAACAGTTACAAATTTGACAAGGATCATCATAGCGCCAAAAACAATTGGCTCCCGTGTGACCAAAACGTTTACAAATTTGATAAGGATCATCATAGTGCCAAAAACAATTGGCTCCCGTGTGACCAAAACGTTTACAAATTTGACACGGATCATCAATGCCACGTCGTTGACTGTACCGTTTCTCATACGGTGTATCTTGGTTCGATGTCATCGGCTACTACTACGAAGCGAGGTGGGACATGGATGTTGGAAAGGAAAACCCTAGCTAACTGATACCAAATTGAAGCATGTGCTCCATCTCAACTAAAAGCCTAAGCTGGTTGTTGGATTGCACATTAATGGTTATATGCTCAACACACCCCCTCACGTGTGCTGTGGGTTCCAAGCAACACGTGGGCCGTAGTTGCTTATCGGATGACGTAGAGATTCGAACCCATTACCTTTGGTTTGGCTCTGATACCAGATGAGAATATAATTGTGTTGTATTCAATAATAATGTCTGAGAGTACAGGTAGCGAATATATAGAGATGCTAGATAGAATCCTAGTCTAACACAAATAATATAGTCCTAGTCTAATATGAATAATATAGTCCTAATAAATATAACAAGTTTTTTTTTTTTTTTTTTTTTTTTTTTGGATACTGCGCAAAAAATTGTGTTTAATATTAAAATAGTAATCTTATTAAAATTATTCAAACTTTTAAACTCCTATAATCTTTTGCAATTTATTTAAAAAAAGTAAAATTTGTTTATCAAATTTAAACAATATCTAGAAAATATTTATATTATTGTATAATAATAATATTATTAATATAAATGAAATCAAATTTATTTATTATATTACTCTAATATAATGTCTACGTATATTATTACCATTTTTTAAATTTATGATTGAGGAATAAAATAAAGATATGATGGATGCATGTACATGGTAACAGTAAAAAAAAAAAAAAAAAAAGTGGGCAGATTCCTTGTGCGCACCGGCATTTGGCCCTGCCTACTAACCCATTGAGTCACCGTGATTTACATCCTCCCACATGCTCTGTCGGGTCGGAGTGTGAAGGACCCTTATGGTTGGGGATTCAGCCATTTGGGGTAAGTAAAAAAAAAAAAAAAAAAAAAAAAAGTTATAATGATAGAGGTATTTTTTGTCAAAAAAACTTATATAATACAATATTTATAGTATAATGTATAAAAAATAGAAAAAAAAAATGGACATAAATAACATCAACTTTTATCCACTTTTATTAGTTTTCTAGATGTAGATTAGATTTAGATTTAGATTTAGATTAGATGTAATTACTCCGTGTATTACATTATGAAAGCAGTGAGACTATTGGCATTAATATAATCATAATTATTTGTCCATTCTATTCTGTATTGACAGAATTGAGAAAAACTTAACATTATCGATCGTCAGCTCCTTGTGAACTGAAGCAACCTTTTGACTTTTGCACGAAGATCGGACATCACTTAGGACACATATTCCTACTCAAAGCTTCTGCCATGCTTAATATAATATATGGACTGACCAAAAAATATAGGAACTCGCTAGCTATAAGTTTTCAAACTTTACTACCTCCATTATTTTAGAATTAATCATTATAAAGTCCAACCAAAGGACATAATAGATTCCCCATATGCCCCATTAAATTTTGAAAACTTTCAAAAGTTGAGTGTGTATGGGTTGACCTAGGTATCCCACTTCATGGCATTACTATAATGCATGATTATTGAGAGAATTTGTAATAATATATTATTACTTGAATTTCTTATATTAGAATTTTACGTAACATAATAAATAATAAAATGAGATAATAAGATTATCAATAATTTTTTTTTAAAATTTTATTTCACTACTCATGTTAAGTGACAATTGTACATTTTTTCTTTGTAGTATATATATATTTTTTTCTTTGTAGTATATATATATATATATATATATATATATATATATATATATATATATATATATATATATATATAAGATTGTCATTTTTAGAGAAAATTGAATGCTTATAAAATGTCAAAAACTAAAAATTCTATAAATTTGTAGAGTTATTGAATACATATTGAGATGTAAATTGACATGATTAAGTTTTTCACTTCTTAGTATTATTATAACGACTGAGAGATGCTAAACTCAATCTATAACAGTGCATTATTATTAATTGCATGTACTTTCTATGGCAAATTATGATAAATTATTGTCAAATCGTAACAAAAAGTACATTTTTTATATATTAGAAGTACATTATTTGTATACTGAATGTACATTATTTGATAGTATGGTCCACACAACTGTGTGGACAAGAATGATTGACTTTTTATACTCTTATCTCAAATAGTATTGCAAAATGGGTTTTGAGAGGTTATTAATAAAACCTCATATTCTGTCTTGACACATCAAGTGGATGGTAATACATTAATTTTTTTAGTTTGTAATTAATATTAACAAGATTGTTATGTTTGATAAAAAATTGAATTATTATAAACGGTCCTAATTAAAAAAAATTTAGAAATTAATTTGTATATTTCTTGCAATACA